CACCGTGAGGTTGACTGAAAACAGCAGAACTGAATTATGAGTTCTGCAGTACTAACAGGTTGGAAGAAGTCTCTAAAACTTTTCTCTTAAATCATCATGCTGAAAGACTGCTTTTAAGATTACTATTACCTTTCTTAACCACATTTTGCCTCACATTTTCAAGCTAAGAAAAGCAAACTGACAAAGTAGTACTGCTCAAACAAATTAATTACTTCTGTCAAACTAACATTGCGACTCCATACAAAGCCAACTGATTTTAACGGATAACGGTTTTAATAAAATGCCAGTTTTTACTCAAACATACACAACAGATTATCCCATGTCTCGTGACCAATTCCTAAACTGTCCTACTTGGTAGCTGTCCAAGTGCATCAAAGTTGTATGGGGTGGGTGGGTGGGTGCGTACAGTCAGTCAGTCAGTGCGCTACTATTAAACACTCCATCCTACACCAACAAAACATTAACCTCACAACAACATAACGCTAAGGTGAACAAAAAAACTGCATAACGCTTCTAAAATGTCGCATAAAACAGTGCTCTTCATAGTCTGATTATTTCAACACTAACAGTACTAAGTAACCATATTCATGTAATTAAAGGCCTATGTAACATCTGTGTGCAAGGGAGGGTTCCGGGTACCAAACTTTAGTGCCTGATTTACAAACGAACAGCCTAACAACTGCAAATTCCACTGCAGTTGTTACTCAAGAATCCAATTACTTCAACGAAAGTTTCCTCTACAGCTTCTTTTCCCCAAAATACAGAATAAAACACTTACCTTTAGATAGGCAATGTGGTATTCTAAAAGAACTTGGACATTTCCAATGCTTTCTTTAGTACCAACAAATACAAACGGTACCATTCCCTATAGAAACAAAACGCTAAATCTTATTTTCAGAAAGAGCACTTTCATCAAAACAACATAAATGTTCTATTCAAATTAAACAAAAGAGCGTACCAATCAAAGATGCTGACTAAATCTTGGTCTGCATCAAAGATGCCCTAGAAACAGCTCATAAATTAGGGGGAAGGCAGGGCATATATTACATGTTAAGGACCTAGCACTGTTTAGAAGCCCCAGTAACCCATTCTGGCAGTCAAAGATAACTCGATGCATACCGTCTACATCTCATACACAATATAATCACTGCATGGGTTTCTATCACAGCAGGTGCATAGAGACATTGAAAGATTCTGCAGAAAATATATGTCTAGTGGTCAATTAAATCAGCTTTACAAGAAGATGATTTTCGTCTTTCCGTATACTTAACATACGGAAATATTAAAAACAGGAATAAAAGTAGTAAAAGTAGTAAATATCAATCCCATATTAGTTATGCAGTTACAGTAGTACATGTAGGAGAAAATTTTTGCTACTAAATGCAAGATTTCTTTTAAAAACAAATCTTGCTTGAACTACATTTCATAAGAAATTTACTGGAAGATACCAGTCTGAAAATACCTTAAAAATCTGATGTCTCTCTATATCCATAGCAAAGTTAAAGCTGGCTTTGTTAAACAATCTGCAAGCATGACTCCATCCCACTTTGGCAAATCACACCTCAAATACTTAAAAAAACAAAACAAAACAAAAAAAAAACCTCAGGTGGTTTTCTGTCCTTCCTAAAGGTTTTTAGGCAGGGGTCCCAACGAGTAGCAACTCAGTGCTTTTTGTAACATGGACAACACCATCATTATAAGTTAGCCATGAAAAAAAAAAACCACAACAAACAGTGCACAGACCAAGATGACTCTATATGAACTGCATAACGATGCAGAGATGAAACACTGATCCCATTCCAATGTCTTAGGTTAACATTTTTAATCTCATTTCAGTCACGCTGCAGAACTACACATATTTTGCTACGTTTTCTTTTTGTGAAAGAAATGGAACATTACTAGTTTCAGAAAAAAAATCAAAATATAGCTATAGGAAGAAAGGAGAAAGTACTTACATCTTCTCGGGGCAGTTTATTTTCATTATCTCCTTCAATTCTCACCCTCACGACTCCAGACTTGTCTACGATCTCCTGAATCACTTTTCCGTTTTTTCCAATAACTTTTCCTTCAGAGGGCAAGAATGGTTAATTTTGAACCAATGTGCAAAGTAATATAATGGGTCTCTTGATATTCTCAGTTATCTATAATTGCAACAGCAACCTGACCCCCTACTGCGCGAGAAGAAAGTCAGGCCGAAACTTCCGAAATGATACTCCAACTATATACGTGCATGCATATACATGGCAAGTATTGATCGAGATCAGCACTACACTCAAGTTTGAAATAGAGCTAGACTAAGATTAAAAGGACATAGAAGGTCTGCAGATGCCTATTTGAAATTTATTTCAGCTCAGAATTAAAATTATTAAATCGGGTTAAAATTCAATCCTTCTGAAATTTTGAACTGCAAACACAATATACATTTGTTGAAGGCCTCTTAAAAAGTAAAGTCAGAAACTACTTAACTGGTTTCTGAGATTTAATTTGGCCTGTACAAACATAAGCACTACGCATATTGTCCATACTCTCTTTCAAACATCTATTTTCAATTCATATGTGCTCTTCACATGCTGAAGAGCCAAAAGGTTCTTCAGAACCCATATATTTAAATCTCAAAGTGAGTGATTCATCTGTATCGTTCTTAAGAAGCTTTAGTTTTCCCTAATTCTAAAGTTACTTGGAAACGTATTCATCCCAGCTACGTATATCTAGCACTTAAAACATAAATTTTGAGTAAAAGAACATAGAACGCTCTAAAAACAACAGGATAACAGCCTAAAGTTTGACAAGATTCCATGAAGAACATTCTTTACAGTAGACGTTAAGATGATACCAAGCGCAAAAAGCATCAAGAACTCTGTTTTCTACCCTCAGCAGTTCAAATAGCTTAGGAACATGCTTACAGCTCTAAGTCTACAATCTTATTTTGTACAGTGGTCCTGTCACAGCTAATAAAACAAAACACATGGCCTATATGGCGAGCTATTTTTCCATAGGCCGATATTTGGGAAAAGGTCAGGACCTTTGAGAAGCGTTGCCTTCTCTAGCCTTGAGAAGCTTCAGTAGCTCAAACTGGTGATTCAGTAGATGGCACTCTTCTCTCTCGGTACAGAAGAAACGCTGTGGCTCCTGTGGGGAGCATTCATGACTCAAATTGAAGCTACCCCCACACTTTTAAGTAAGTTTAACTTGGCTGGCCTCCAAAAACACAGCTAAACACACTTCTGTTTACACTGATGACCAAAGGAGATTTAGCCAAAGTTACCTGCTTTCATTGTAAATTTAAACTATGTAATTGTTTCATAGAGGCAAACAGCTACTCTAGGCCATTTTTCAGTTAGGTATGTTTCTATGGCTAGTGCCGGGATCTCTATACAGGCATATTCAGATTAATCAGAATGCCATACAACAACCCTCTCCCCAAAGCCTTGTTGTAAAACAGATTATAATTAGTTGCCATATGAAAGCAGAGTTCCTTGGTTCAACTATGTTCGCTGAATGAGATGACAGGAAAAAAAAAAATTGTTTGCGTATACACTTACAATTACTCCGCTGAGAATTTTAAGTAGCCCTATAGATTAAAAGATGTTTAAAATTTGGTCGAGGAGAGAATCATGAGGTTGCATCAGATAAGTAAGTTTTACAGGTCCTATTAAAAAAAGCAAAACGCTACACCTTAACTCAGTCACCTTCAAAGTCTAAGTTTTAGGGGACCGCAAATGAATTATTTAAATTATGTAGTCTGTAACAAGCACTCTCTAAGCCCAAAACCATAGGAAGTGAAAGCCACGTTTTTAACTTTCGCTTTGGATAATTCAAACTGCTGTTGAAGGCTCAACACCTGCACTCTTAACACTCCCTTCACCCCTGCACTGCCTGCGGGCAGGTAATGTGGAGACCGAAGCTGCCAGACTGAGCACAACAAGCAGGCTAGAAAGTAGTAAGGAAAGGACCTTATGAGGACTGAATTGGGGAAAAGATGCCTTTTTTTCCTGAAGGGGAAGCGCAGATAAACCCTATCTCTAAGCAGCTTATGAAACAGAGCCTATCCTAGTATGCATTTGCGAGTTTTGGGAAACCAGACCTTCATAAAACTGAACCAGAAGAACGTCCATTTCTAGCTCAAAGATGAGACTATTACAGTACTGCTCATTTATGTAACAGCTTGATATCCCCTGAACACCACATCTAACCAGCCTGAACCCAGGAGGGGGCAACGACATGAGAATTCTTTTCTGTCATTCTTGCTATTCAAATGTAGTAGTTTCATACTGAATTTTAGAAGTTAGTTTTAGCGTCTCTGAAGAGTTCACTTAGCAAATGAATTTTTGCTCTACTAGAACCTGAAATTCTAATCTTACCATTAAAATAAGATTGTACAAATCTCAAAGTGTTATAATTGAACTATTTTATGGGATAAAAAGTGATAGTAAGTTATCAACAATAACGTATGCACAGTAACTTTAAACAACCCCTGATGCATATAGTTTTAAAAGATTAATCACTTTCTGCTTAACAGGAGAAATCAAATATTGCGCTGGCATCTATCTAAATCTTCTACACGTAGCCATGCTGAGTTTCTTTCCCCAAGTTTTCAAGTTTGAGCAGTATTACATACCAACAAGATTTCTGGGAACCTGAATAAAATCCTCCACAAATTCCAAGTAACTTCTAGCCTTTTTTACTGCATCAGCAGTCTGGAAATGAATACAAAAAAAAAAAAAAAGAAAAGAAAAGAAAAAAAGGAGTTTATTTGTGAATTCATATGTTAAAAATAAAACTCTGTTCCCACAGCTACAAATCTTCCAAATAGCAGCTTTTTTTTTTTTTTTTGAAAAGGAGGAATAGAGGCAAGATTAATCTAGTTTAGAACTAAATAAACAGAGAGAAATAACTGAGTAAATGCTCAGAAACAAAATGCAGTGGCAAAGCAAAGCGTGAACAATGACTAAAACAACTTTTTCAGGCTATTTTAAGACATTTGAAAATATCCTCTGCGACTTATCGCAAGAAAACCCGGACTTAAAAATACCCTGCAAATCTATCTTGAAGCAGCTTCTGATAGACATGAATCGGGGAAAAAATTACAGCCTTTTCTCCAAAATCAAGACACAATTTCCAAATCTAGAGTCTATTTATTAAACAACATAAATGTAAGTAGTATTACAAAGATGCTTTACTGAAAACAAACAAACTGGTAAGAAGTCCTATCAGCAGTCATAGAAACTTCAGCGTACCAGAATACTAAGTTAAAGAAAACTCTGGATCGTGTTACTTTAATCTCATCTCACTTTGTACTGAATGAGTAGCCACATGTTTAAGATCAGATGGGCAAACCATACACCTATAGTTTCACCCTGCATTTTCCTCCAGTCAAATTGGCTTTAGAAGCATCTGGTTCTTCTCAGTACATGCCGATTCGCATGCTGACGCATGCTATTGTTCAAATTATTCTTTTCAGCAACGTGAATTCGATTTTACAATTTTTAATGTTGTTTCAGTACACTACCACGTTTTTCAGGGTTCCACAAGCAGAGAAATGAGAAACGAGAGAACAAATTTTAGATCCACTTGTCTCTTGACAGTATCTCAAGATTGCGTCACGTGATAAAGATAAGGCATTTCCAAGGTTGAAGGGCAATTTCTCCACAGAATTTTAAAGGCTAACTATAAGCAATGACTGGCTTTACAACCTTTCCTGTGAGAAAAATCACTGCCTTTTCACAACAGTCTACAAAAAACAGCTGTTACAAGTTGTTCTCTCCTCTGCTGAAGTTTCTCTTCTCCGACTCAGTTTTCAAGGAAATAGAAACAAAAAGACAAAAATCAGTCACAAGACATTTGTCACGGTACAGAGATCAATTTCGCATTGAAGTCATTACATCAAATACTGTTGCAAATATACGTTATTCCTCAGTGAGGAAATAAACACACACCGCCAAGCTGACAAAACTATTCATCTCTGTTTCTGAGCGTACACATTTACAAGACTTGTTCACCACTGAACCCACTTTACGTCTTCAGAAAAGGGATTCGTTGTCCAAAGGCTACGGGGAGGCTAAATTCAGAGCGCTGTACTCTGCAGGAGGAGATCTGAGGCAGTCATACAAACTGAGGATGCAGTCACAGAGCAATAACTCTGCAAGAGGGTATATCAGTGCACGTACGTAGTTCACCAAGCTTGCTCGGCACTCGCTACATATAGGAAGTTTTCTCTTTC